AATTTATCAATTACCATTTAACCGAACTTCGGTTTCTCTTTTAATTTCAGGAGAACCATCACTTTCTTAGCCTCAAAGGATGGGAAACTAGACTTTAAATTCTTACTATGAAAAAGCCTCATACTTTGGCCTGCCCAGGGCCTCCATCCATTTCTTCTTAGACTTTAAATGCCCTGAAGGAACTTTCTCCTTCAGCTGGTGTGAGCTGAGAGGCAATGAGAGTACTGCTTTTTCCTGCTAACTAGCTGACTAGTCCTCTCTCGAAGATCTTAGAACCCTCAGGGGGTGCCTCAAACTGCTTTCCTATGCCTATATGATTACTTCACAATTCTTATGTTTTAAAACAGAAGCAATGGGAAAAATCATTTTGTGTACTCTCTCTCCCATCCTCACTAAGTCCTAATCTAACGCTATGATAATTTTTATAGTCAGGAAAATTTACAGTAGCAACAGCCAAGTTTCTAACTCATGTACTGTCCTCCTCCCTCATTAGTGGATATTAAGTTGACCCTGAGTCACGTTTGCTTAGCCGCCCACTTTCATACTTATTCAAATCAATCCACTTCTTAAAGGACAAAGCATTTCCATCACCCCTCTCCCTGGGTATTTTAAATCATTTGAACAGAATATTTTTTTTAAAAAAAATTAAAACTTAGCTTCTTCAAGATATAAAGGAACTCATTTTAAGGAAACTACTAAAGTTTGAATAAACACTAGCAAATAATTGGGTGATGCTTACTGAAATGTTTATCCAAAAGATGAAAACAATTTCTTTGGTAATATTTTCCTTTGTTATAATCCATAGGAAAAAAAATGGTAAACCTTTCCTGATTTTCAAAGTGCACCTGCTTTCCCACAGACTACCTTTATAATTTTGTATTAACTATTTATTTTTGCTTTCGGACTTTTAAATCTCAGTCTCAGCTCACCGTGAAGTCTGGGAAGAAGCCGTCATCAGCTAAACCCATTTTGGTTGACAGACAGGCCTTCTGGTCTCAGAGCTTATATACAAAGTTCTGCTTAATCATTAATGCCCTGCTTTCCCCCCTGCTTACCACAGAAATATATACAAGTAAATAATGGAGCATAAGAAGAAAATCAGGACCAAAAAAGAATGGTAAACTCTAAATGTGTGAATTATAAGGGTTTGACTTTAGCTCTGAGCTTTAGGACAGTCATTATCACACTCATTATATTATACTGGAAGAAAACAAAAGAATTCCTCAAAGGCAACAAAACATTATCTGGCATCAAATTTTTAAACTCTTCTTATTTTTAAGTAATATACTTTCATGTGAAAAGTGTAAAAACATTTGAAAAGAAGAAATGCATACAGAATAAAACAATTATCATCTGTGATATCACCCAGCACTAACTATCACTAATGTTTAATTGTAGGACCTTCCCATAATTTTCAGGCATGGATATAATTTAAATTACGTTTATACTGTCCAGACTGCTTTTTTCACTAACAGTGTAGTACCAGCATTCTTTTCATTATTAGTCTTCTGTTAAACAGACTAACAAAGAATTCTTAAAGATTTCTCAAAGGAACTTTATCATTACTGACATATATTTAATAGTATAATGTGTAGTTATGAAAGGAAACCAATATCCACTATGTGCCAACTATTGTATAAGCCTTTGTTGTTTTTGCATTTAGCCAGAGTTGATGATTAAAATCAGAGATAATTTTATTAACTGACATCTCCTCTGGTGCATTTCAGATGTAGCTAACATCATAAAAATTCAGCTCACGTAATTTTCAAGAACATGTATTGTGTAGCTTAGCATTTATAAGGAAGAGCAAGAAATGCTGAAACACCTTTAGTCTTAACTAAAGGGAAAGAATGCCTGAGTTCCCTCATCCACATGTGCCATGTGCCCTGTGAATAAAGCTCAGAAGGGTCTCTCCCTACTTTTTCTTTTTTTTTAATATCTTTATTGGAGTATAATTTCTCCCTACTTTCTTGGTAGCCTAGAAAGAATTTAAATGTCCTTCCCTAGCCTCCTAGCCGTTGGTTGGCAAACATCAGGGAACAGGTAGAAATCCCATTCTCCATCAGTCCTCAATTTACTTTGTCTCACAGAGACTATCTCCAGCTTACAGATTGTAGAAGGGAAGTAGGGGATCATGGAGGAGCCTCTTGAGACCATGGTCTTCAAACTGCAGTATGCAAAGCAACCACTGGGATAGCTGGTAGGAAAGATTCCTGGGCCCCATCTTCAGAGATTCTGGTTCAGGGTACCAGGAGTAAGGCCCTTGGATGCAAATATCCTTCTTGTGCCATTCTGACGTTTTGGAGGGAGCTCCGTTTAATCTTCCTTGAAGGTTGTTTTTCTAACTTCTGAAATCTCTTAAGTCTGTGTTTCTCAAACTTGAGTATAAGCCCTCTCTAGGGTTTATGAGTGGGCCAGTAGATAGGTGGCGTCATAAAATCAACATGATGTATCTTCCTGGAGTGTCTATTTTATGCAAAGCTTTGAGAAAAATTAATATTTAAAATGTAACATGGGTCAGAATACAAAATCTACTTGATTTTTTAGAATAAAACAGACACTTGAAGGAAATTCCCCAATTCGGCTTACTTCCAGGGGCCTGTGTTTACCTTCCTTTACTGTTATAGGGCATCTTTGGTAGAATATCTTAATTAGGATGGTTTACATTATAACTCCAGATAAATGCTGATGTAAACAGCTAATGGTATAGAAAATGTAAATACAAAGTGCCTTTTTAAAAGATGATGTGAGTGATTGAATAATAATTCTTTAAGCATTCTCTTTTCTTATTTAGAAAAGCATTTCTATGTTGCAGATGAACTGTCTCACGTTGAGCCTGAGTCATCTCAGGTGCCAGATCTCAGTTCTAGAGACCATCAGCAAGGTAAGCCCCCTCTTCTCAAGTCCCTAAAAGCTAAGACGTCCTCATGCTCTGGTCTGCATGCCACTGAGATAAGGAAGACAACCGATGATTCCATATCTAAAGTCCTAGACTGGTTTAACCGAAGTTCTCATTCAGATGACAAGAAATCATGTCTCCAATATTCCCAAGAAACAGAGCCCAGAGAAAAAACAGACTCAAAGTCACGGATTGCTGTTGCCTTGGTGACAGGTGATACCAGTCAAAAAGAAAATGGCTCAAAGGCTCTGTTATCCACCAGAGTTGAATTGACACCTGTGGGATCTGATTCAACATTCCAGGTAGAGGAAAATATGCCTTTTGGAAATGGCGAAAATGTGAATATCAAACCCAAATCTATTCATTTGTGCCCACAAGGCAAGGAAAGTCCAGGCATACTGCAACCATTTGAAATCTCCAGTCCAAATCAAGAGAGTAAAACTGTGGACTATAGCCAAGGTTCAAAACATGTAGGAGAAGGAATTGGGGTACTTCCTCCAACCAATAACTATTCCTACAGTGTTTGCAAAGGATCTCATGCAGAAGATCAAGTTCCATGCAACACTAAGGATGTTGACAGTTTATGTGAAGAGCCCAAGCTTTGTGTTTATGAAAAAAATAGAAGAAAGTCAGAAGTGAATTGTGACTCTTCAACAGTTATCGAACAATGGAGTTTGAAAGACAACTTGAAGGCAGAGAGAGAGAGCAAAGGAAGAGACAGTTACATCCTAAAAGCTTCTTCAGAATCAGAGACTATTGAGTCACCCCCTGAGGCTACCAACAATAAATCTCCTAGGAAGGAGCCTAAGGTCCAACTACAAGAAGCAGGTGAGGTTCCCCAAAACCAAGTGCAAAGAGAGAAATACAAAAGAGTGAGTGACAGAATATCCTTTTGGGAAGGTGAGAAAGCTACTGCTAACTTAACTCATAAAGAACCGGTATCTTCATTTAGTCAGGAACGACTTTCTGCTAAAGCATATCAGCCTGTGAAGTCCATGGACAGTTTATGTACGGGCTGTAGTAAATATAATAATCAAGTCACTGCCGAACAAGTGGTCCTAGATAAGGATGGTCAAGCAGCCCATCTCTGCCATTTTTATTCCTCAAATAAAACTAAAGAGACCAGGCCCCAAATATCAGGTCCATCCAAAAATGATCCTTCAGCTGGCCAACCAGGTAAAGTGTCTCTGTTTCAGAGTAAGACAACTGAGCCTATAAGAAGATTACCAGTGACAGACAGTTTGCATTATGAAAAGGACATTACTTTTCCACCACTGCAACTTCCTTCAAATGTGGGGAGTGAAATACATACCTCTTTGGAGAAAGACAGATCTCTAATTGGTGAATGGAATCCCAACTTTAAAGTTATATCCCTAAAAGAAAGAATGGATGAACCCAATACAGAACAGGTCTATAATCACTCTCAATTTGAGAATTTGAGAAAGTTTTGGGACTTAGGAGCCAATCCAAACAGTCAAGATGATATTGAGAAGAATACTACCACAAGCCAACAAAATTCTGTGCCTTTTAATAGCCAGAAACGCAAAGAATTCAGTGACATTAAATCATCAGGAAAAAATACCCATGAAAGAGAGATGCTTCTAAGCCAGAAAAAAGTTCCGGAAAGAGAGGAAATAGAGAAATTAAATTCAAAGGGCACACTCCAGGTGTTACCAAGTGAAACCACATTTCCATTGAGACCACCCAGAAAGTCCACTCATCAGTTGCCAGGATATGACTCATCAAAGGAAAACATGCGAAAAAATACAGAAGGGTTTGTTACTCCAGTGTTCAAGGAAGAAAAGGATTACTCTGACCGGGAGATTCAAGAGATTCAAGAATCCATTGTGAAAACAAGTGTTTTCTCTAAAGACTACAGAGACACGTTTAATGACAGTTTACAGAAGCTGCTTTCAGAAGCCTCATCACCAGTCATCCATCCCTCTGGTGGAAAAGTTCATGAAAAACAAGCGCTTGAACCAGGTATTTCTGAAAATAGGACATGGCCTCGCAAGGCAGATTTTGCTGATACTGAGGAAGAAGCCAAAAGACCTAAGGAGATCATTAATGAGCATATAGACAAAACAGTAGCTCCTCCAAAGGTCAATTCGAACACTTTGACTGCTAGTCTAGACAAACTCCTGAAGGAAGCATCTGGAACTCCACCCTCTCCCTCGCAAACCAAATGTGAACCGGCAACCACTAGGATCGACTCTGAGTCTGAAGAGAGTAGAGTTTATGGAAAAGGGGTAGAATGGAGTCAGAACACATCAGCCTATCAGAGAGAGATACTAGCTGCTTCTCCAGAGGCAGAAACTTTGGGAAATTCAGCTCTCTCCCAGAAAGCTCAAAGCGGTGAGTGCCAGCTAAACACGGAGAACTTGTTTCAGATGGCTGCAGAAGGTTCTTACCCATTGGATCAACCTTCCTATCACCACAGAAAGGGTTCTTTTGGGGATGTGGCCAACACTCGCCAAGGTATGCCTTCTTCTAAGGATGCTCATCTTGTTCCTCAGAATAAGGCACTACCTTCTCAAAGGGAAATTTCTGAGACTATAGAAAAAGTTCTTCTTTTACCCAAACCTGCACTGAATGATGTAAAGGCTGTATTACAAAAGCTACTTAGAGAAGCTTGGTTGACTTATCCAGTTGGGAGGGAAATAGTCTCTGGAGAAGTAAAAGCAGAATGTCCTGAAGGTGTGCAGGTAGAAGGTAGCCCCTCAAATTCCCTGGGAGTTATCCCATCACAGACTACAATGGACAGCATAGTTCCAGACAGAAAGGATTTGTATTCCTTCAGTGTAGTTCCTGGTAAAACTCATAAAGTTGGATCTTATTTAGCTGCCCAGATGCCTCCATCAGAACAAACCCTTAGCTCATCTGCTTCTACTGTTGCTCAGGATGGCAAAGAGTTCTCTCAGGAAGTGACAGAAACTGTGAGGGAAACAATCATTCAACCTAAATCAGAGCTCCTTGACTTCAGTGCTGTCTTAGAAAAACTACTGAAGGAAACAATTGAAACCCCCTGCTCAAAATATGACAGTGATACAGGGACTCTTTATTCATCAAAGTTAATAGGGAGTACTGAGGTGCCCAGGCAAGCTGCTTCTGAATTCCATCCTAAGGAAATAAACAGTAGAAAAGTCTGAGGCTCCATCAATTACTGGGAGTGCTTTTGAGATTGGCTTTGAGAAAACTCCTTAAAGAATCATCTAATGGTCCTTCTTATCAGCTCCAAGTGTCAGTGAAGGAAGAAACTCCTGAGAAGGAGCCTTCACAGTCAAAGCAGGCCAGGTTCTTGGGGAAAGTGCCCTCTTTTTACTGGACAGCCTCAAAGGCCTCGGAAATGAAACTTAAGAGTAATGTTTTCAAATCTCAAGTCAGTCAACGTGATAAAGTGTTGGGAAGAGACAAAGCTCTGACTGATTTACCAATAGATCTCTGTGGTTTTGAAAGTGGGGTTGAGATCCCTGGAACCTCACAACTTTCTGTGGACCATGAAATAGGGACCACTGAAACTATAAAACCCCCAGAGGACAGGAATTATGAAAGTGAGGTTGCAGTAGTTTGAGAAGGGGCTTTTCAGGAGCTTGGTATCAAAGAGGCTCCTGAAGCAACGAACGTGCCCAGAAATAGGCAACCCATTCCTCTCCTGACAAACAAAGAAAACTCTACAAAAATAAGTAAAGTTGAATTGATTCTGGCATCACCATATAAGAGACAAGAGAAAAAGGAAGAAAAAGAAGGTTTCTCTGACTCTGATTTTTCAGATGGAAACATCAGTTCTAAGGCAGAAAGCTGCAGAAATACCTCCAGTGAGCATTTTGAAGTTTTTAACTGATTGGTTAATGAGTTGATTTATGTAATGCTGGTGTAAAGGATGGTGTAGTTTTTAGAATTGGGATTAATTTGACAATCCCAATAGTACTAAATTCTTCTTTGTACTTCAGTTCTCCCTAGAGTTTCTTAATAAAAAACTACATTTCCTTTTATATTCTTTAATCAAATGAGTTACATAGAGATAGCTTTACCCATCAGGCAGTGTTTCAGAATCTGACTTTATTCTCACTGATAAATGATAGAATTTTTAGGTTTCAAAAATATTTTTTAGGGCTTCCCTGGTGGCGCAGCGGTTGAGAGTCCACCTGCCGATGCCGGGGACACGGGTTCGTGCCCTGGTCCGGGAAGATCCCACATGCCGCTGAGCGGCTGGGCCCGTGAGCCATGGCCACTGGGCCTGTGCGTCTGGAGCCTGTGCTCCGCAACGGGAGAGGCCACAACAGTGAGAGGCCCGTGTGCCGCCAAAAAAAAAAAAAATTTTTAAAGAACTTTTGGGGTTTAGAGAGTACCTCTAAAACATCCAAGTGTGCTTTTCTCTTGGAACTAATTAGAATTTCCTAACTGGCAGTCCATACAGGAGTCTCTAGTAAGATTTGTGGCAAGAAACTCCCATATTGGTCACACATTTCCCTTTTAAGAACAGTAGTTTACCACATTAGTGGCTAAGTACCAGGTACAAAGTGCAAGGCTGGAAGTTTCCCTCAGATACCTTGGGCTGTGGTGTTTCTGTTGCCACTCTCTCCCTCTTGTTTGCAATTATCTGCAGGATCCTCCCCTTCTAGGATATGCCTCAGTCTGATGACTTCACCTGATTCCACCTATAAGGGCATTGCCTGGCCTGCTGCATTTCTTTGGCTCCAGCCTTAGCTAAGTGGATGGCGATCTTAATCAATTACCATATTCACCTAAGTGGACTTGGGCTTCTGGTTTCAGGCAGGCTATAAAAGATAGGGCTTGTCTCAGTTTGCTATTCTGAGCAACCTGGCTATTTTAGGAGAGAAACCCAGGAACAGATAGGGATTAGAAGTTAGCTGATTAGAATGATGAAATGATAAAGGATGCTCTCTGGCTGGAACATTTTAACCAAAATTGCACAACAACTAATGTTGATCACCTTCCTTAGTAGAAAATTAATAGAATTTGTCATTTTCTGGCTCCCTTCAGTCTCAATGAGAACAAATGAGCTTTACTGAGTGGCTGATTTGTGCGGTTTGGGCTCCTTTGCAAGTAGCTGTAGGGCCTCTTATTGAAAACTGACCAAAGAATCCACCTTTAATCCTAATTAATCAAGCTGAAGCCCCTTTAAGCTTTGTAACTGGTGAGAAAAGGAAAATGAAATACCAGTCTCTCAAACCAGACATATGCAAGAGTGTAAGGCAACATCTTAAACTTGTTGAGGTAGACTTTTACTAAGCTACCCCATGAGTTACTGGGCCAAATTGACCTATAGGAGGTGAAGGGCTTGTAAATTTGCACTTACTTTACAGACTATTGCTTAATGCATATGGCTGTGTTAAAGTATACCAGCATAACTGATTGAACAGCAAAAAAAACCTATCTAAAAACCTGTCTATCTACAAAAGAAATAATCAGTATAAATAACCACCCAGACAGACAGAGCCCAGAGAAGATATTTTAAAATCATAAGCCAAGTAGGAGGTATAAAATAGTCCATAGTTTTGTATCTTCTAACCTAAATGATTATTTTTTAAATAAATGGGTGGGGGTGGAGTGAGAGTAGGGAGGAACCTGACAACAAGGCACCATAATTTTGATGAGCAGCCTAACATGTTTGACTTGTGGCTGAGCTCTTAACCAACCAATACCTCAGTATGTTCCTTTAAAAGCGGGGGAGGGAGTGCTGGGAGATCGTGCACATGATTAGTACACTAAAGCATATTAAAGTCACTGAGAAGGTCTGCAGTAAGAAACCATTTAAGTTTGAACACAGAGCATCCCAAATCTAATTCATCTTAGGATCCATTTACTGGAGAATGCCTATTAACATTGGGCACAACTGGGATGCATTTCAGGAAAGTATCGTCTAGAGAAATAGTTCCCAAATTCATCGACTCATTAATGGAATCGTTCATTGATTTAGCAAGCATTTGCAAAATGCCTGTTGCCAGCCACTGTTCTAGTCACTGAGACTACAACAGTGATGAATGAGAGTACTCAGACCAGGGCTTATCCATGATGGAGTTTCCACTGTCAAAATGGAACAATTAAGGACTATCTAGAGAAAAACTTTTATAAAATTAGATGTATTTAAAGAACTGGTCTTATTCTCCGGTTATGCCCTTTTTCTTCCTTTTTTTTCCCCTTGTGGTCCTAAAATGCCTTTCCTTTTATAAAATAAAGGCATTAGTAGATAATAGAGACCTCCCCGCCCCCCCCCCCACACACAAATGCCTTAGTAAAATAAAAAGTTGACTACCTCGTGTCATTACCCAACGTTTTGTTGGAAATTTCACCAGTTCATGAAACCCAAAAAGCCTACATTTGTTGATCTGGAGAATTCACCCATCTGTGTACCCAATTATACACAGATGTTAAAACATCTGAATCCTGCCTTCTATGGTTTTCAGCTAATTATTTTAATGCTCCTAAAACCATTTTGTGGCTGTCTTCAAAAGCTAGAAGTGAAGGGGAAAGATTCAAAGTCTGGCACAGAACAAATCATGTGCCTAAATAGAGGTGTAAAAGACTAAGAGAGCACATTTCTATTAATGTGGGAATCTTGTTAATCTTGTTTCTGTATCATTTATGCTTACAAATATTTCTTGACCAGAAAAGTTATTTAAAGAATATACTAATATTCTTTAGTGGAGAAATTTTATTTTCTTCTGTTGGAGTGCTTCATAGAGTGAATAAAAGTATAGAGGCTTATGGCATAATGCCTCCTTTCAACCTACCATTTCAGTGTCCATTGATTATTAAGAGTTTGGTTGTTTTCTTTTTTCTTTTGTGCAGTATTCATCGGTTTTGTCTTGCAACAGGTTCAGAAGAAGAACCCAGTCCTGTTTTGAAAACTTTGGAAAGGAGTGCTGCTAGGAAAATGCCTTCCAAAAGTCTAGAAGATATTGCATCAGATTCATCAAGTGAGAATAAAGTTTGCCCCACTGTTCATGCCCCCATCTCAGCTTAAAAATGCGTATGTGCTCTTCTGTGGCCTCACTGCATGCTGTTGTGCACTGAAAACCCTAAAGGGGGGTTAACAGACGAGAATAACTTTTCCCAAGTGAGCTGAAGAGGCTCAGCCTAAAGTGGCTGGAACTTTGCTTTTAAAATAACGCGTGAGGTTTGGTTACTAGAATACTAGGTTTCCTTGAAGAATCCCAGTTTGAGTGTTTATTCAAGTACAGTGAGTTTTAAAAGACTGTGGTAGCTAGTGGTTCTAGTGGTAATAGCTAACATTGATTGAACACCGTGTGCCAGGACTTGGCTAAGTGTTTTACCTGCATTTTCCCATTTAACTGGCATAGGCAACCCTGTGAGGGACAAATTGTTACTCCCATTTTACAGATGAGGAAAGTGAAGTTCACAGAGGTAAAGTAGTTTGCTTCCTATCATACAGCAGAGCTGGGACTCAAAATCAACAGGCTATTAACAAGAGCATTTATGAAGAGACCGTGTTACATATGACAGTGTTGGATGTCTGATGAATTTTTGCATGATATAGAGGTGAATTTGTCCCTGGCTTCAAGGACTTTGCTTTCTCTTTTATCCCTTTTCATGCATTTCTTTTGGATATTGGAATTATAAGCCCAAAGGCTATCTGACATGCAACACTTCAGGCACGCTATTCCCCACTGGCTGCTGCGTTAACTGGTGAAGGATTTCTAGAGTACTAACATAACAGCATAATGTATATAGGGACTTAGAGATTGTGACTTCTTGGGGTTTTGTTCTTAATATTTTTAAGCTAGAATGCACCCCTGGGATTACAGATGGTCATGCGAAAACTTACTGAGTGCAAGTTAACCACTGCCAAACTCATGTGATTAAAATTGACCATTGCCATGTTTAGAATATTTTTACGCATCTGCAATTGAGGCTGAAAACTCAGATTTTAAAAAAGAAAAAACTACACCACTAAACAATTCTTAAAATTCAGAGATTTTCAGGGCTCTGGGGGCAATAGTCCCAGTGTGGAATGCAGTCCTCACCCTACCAAAGATCTTGGAATCTCAGGGTTGGAAGGGACCTTGAAGGTCACCCATTCCAAACTCCCCCCAGTGCAGGAATTCCCTCTAAAGCCCCCTTAACAGGTGGCCAACCCCCCACATCCGCCTGAATGCTTCCAGAGAAGGCGAGTCCAGTCCTTTGTTGGACAGCCCTGATTGTTCTTCCTGATGTTAGTGATGGGCCCTGAGGGGGGAAAAAAACCCCCAAAACTCAGCAACAATTGTCCAGTTTGGCAAACCTCTTGCCTGAGAAGCATGTGGCTATTTCCATGGTGCAGCTTTAAAGCACTCAGGAATGTGTAGAGTTAAAATAAAAAACACCATCAGCTGACGGGTATTCCTGCATGCTCCTTTCCAAATACCGATACCCACTCTCACACGAGCCTGCCAAGATTCCACTTAGCAGCTGGTCCCCAGTTACATCTCTTCAGTTGACTTCCCAAGCAAGGCTCCCGGAGGCATACACAAATGATGATGCACGCACAGAAATATTTGTTAATGACCGTGGGTTTGAGAAGGTGTTAGTCATGGCTAGCATCTTACCCTTTCCAGAAGAATAAAGAGGCTGTTGCAGCCCTGTGCTTTCTCCTGCTGCCAGCCGATTGCTTGCTCTGAGCTAACCCTCTAACCCTTGGGAGTCCGTGTGCAGCAGTGTGCTGATGTAAGCTGCATCGGGGCTGAAATGGGAGCTCCCGCTATGGCACTGGCTCAACTAGCTAATCTAAAGAGAAAGTATTTTGGGGAAGACATCTTGGTTGCACCCCTCACCGCATCTTGACTAATTGCTTCCAACTCCGGGGGCTTCCAGGGACAATCTCACTGTTCTTTCTCGCCAAGGGGTCAGTCGTTTTAACCATTTGTTAATTTCTCCTGCACAGATCAAGCAAAAGTAGATAATCTGCCAGAAGAATTAGTGCGTAGTGCTGAAGATGGTAAATATCTTTATGTATTTGCATGTCTGTCTGTGTATTAGGTTCTGGGATGGTTTGGGCAGTCACCGGGATGCAGCTGTTGTTAGAGAAATAGAAGAACGTCATTTGCTGCTATGTGATGAATTGTGCCTAAGTTATTATAAAATGGTTCTGACTTGGTGCATTTAATACTGCTTGTATTCTTAAGGTTTCTGCTGGTGATACTGTTGTGAGGATCTCATCAGAGACCCTTGGGAAGCGAGGGTTTCCAAAAATAGGAAATTGTATTTCTATGGGTATGAACCGATTTTTGCTACTCTGACTTGCAAAACTCCTTGTGAAGGCAGGGAGAGTGGAGTGGGTTCCTGGGTTAAGTTATTCCTATATTTGATTCTCAAGTCTCAGCATTTAGATCTCTCTAGGTACAACTGGTAAAGATTTAAGGTCAAAGGAAAGGGTCCCAGAACAAGAGTGGGGATCCTGCCTCTGCTCAAGTAAATAACTAAGTATAGACCAAGGGTGAAATTAACTGATTCTGAATTTTAAGGAGCCAGAAGGTCTTGCAGCTTGTCAGTGGATCAGGTGTTACTTGGTTCAGTTATAAAATGAATAGGGTAATAGTGGTGGGAGGGATGGAAATGAGTCTGATTTTTATGGTTCAGCATTTATGCAAACATAAATATAATTTATACTTGTATGCTAGAATTTTGTTTTCTAAGTTGCCTGCACTATAATGATAAAAATGTATATTAACTGAGCTTTCTCATGTAAAATGCAGCAACAGAGCTCTTCAAAGGTCATTCCTTACTTTTATGTAATAGTTTTGTCCTTCTCATTTTATGTTTACAACCATCTCACTGAAGCAGGTGGGGCAGTGAATTTTATCTTCATTTTACAGATGAGAAAAGCTCAGAGAAATTAGGTGATCTGTCTAAGCTCTTGTAGCTAGTCAGTCAGTGGGAGGGTGGGGACGGGCATCTCAGCTTCACCACTCGTATACTCACCACGAGTACAGTGCTTGTTCCATTTTCCATCCTGTGGCTTATTGAGTGAGAGGAAAGACACTGCACATCTCCTGTGCTGGATGTTGGATATTTACTTGAACAGGAGACCTCAAAGAGGCTAATGAAGAATCGCACTGGGGAATGGAGGAAAGCAAGCTGAAAAACTGTCAGATGTATTCTGCAGTCTTAGTAGTGAAACTGACACTTGAGCTTTATTTTCGTGTCTCTTTCATCTTTCTGTTAAAATGGTATTTATTCTCAATGTTGCTCTTCC